CGAGACGAGTGTACTTTGAAAGACATATTCTCACTCATCGTTCGAAGTTGAGCTTTAACACTTTAAGCCTATTTTTATCATTTCTACACATCCAAAAGAAAACAAAAAGCAGCAGGAAGAACCGGTAGAAGTCTGGCTGCTTGAGAATTAGAAGCTGTGATGCGTGTTGAAATTCTTGGAATCCTTAATTATAATCGTGATACCCATTTTCCAAGAAATGATTAACGGTGTATTTTCGTGTCGGAGTTTTAAAATTGAGGTATTCCATGATACATACTAACATAAAAATACTGCTCCCGGCCGTTGTTGAAACTAAATGGTACAAAACTGAAGAATTTTTCGTCGTAAATCGATGAAGGTGAGTTGTGAAATCGAAATAATGTAGTTTTTCATTTGATAGCACATCGTCTATCTAATCATACAGTCTAAATTTTCTTCGCTTTCTCCAATGGACATAGCAACAATGATTTACAAAGTTCTTACCTTTTACAAAATTAGTATTCATAATCATAAGACGCAGCAACGACATAGAATTTGTTGTAACAGTTTTCTGCTCGATAATTCGCTTTTCCAATGTTCACAATTCTCGTATATTGCATGATTTTCTTTTGGTTTTTCCACGAAACTGTGACACGCAGACGTGTAAACCAAGTAAGCTGGTCTTAAACTCTGCTTTTAAAATTTGTTATTTGCGAATATTTTGATCATTTTTTAATACGTCACTGAAGTATATTAGTCTGGGTCGTTCTTTCTCTGTGAATTAAAGATGTGAACGATTATTTTGAGTCTATCGTGAGTGAGAACGATTAATGGAATTTTTCATCAGGATGAAAAATCGTTATGTAAGCCAGTTTCAGTGTTCATTCCCAGAAAGAGAGGTACGTGTTGAAGGTCATAAGAATCTGTTTTCACTTCTGCAGCAAATCTGCTCAATTTTTTGTCATCTACAGTTAAAAGGGCATGTTGAAAATTAAAAAAAAAATTGATGAAGGGAAGAAAAGCTTACTGTTAGGATAACACTGTCTTTGAAATTTAAGCGATGTAAAAAGGTCAAGTGGAAGACTTAGAGTTTCTAGAAACAACAGCCGTAGTGTATTGGTTTTTAAACTCATAGATCATAGAAATGATGCAAAAAATCATTTAATTTCTGGTTCTTTCTCAGTCAAAATAATTTAAATTTTGCATCCCGACTTACTGTATACTTTAAATCTCCAAGCAGGTTTTGTTAAGTGCAAGACGGTGGTGTAGATTTTGGCCCATGTTTGCATGCTACGGCTTTGAATAATGTTCTTGCTATTAGCTCAAACTTAATTTCGATTGCCCGCCAAGTTTGGAATTGAAGAAAGAAACAACTAACGGGCAATGCTTTCTTGGATGATCATATTACAGTTGAAAACGAAAATGTGGTATTAACGAGAATTCTACAAACAAAATCATAGCTACGCTGTCTTTAAATTTGGACATTTGAATTGTTTTTT